AAAATTTATTTTAACTTAACTACCACCTACATTAATTTTCATTTTAACTTTATATTACTAAAAAAAAATGTACAAATTGTAGTATAAAAATTCATTTATTTTATTATTAAAAACTGAAATAGTTTTATTAATAAAAATATTTTGTTGATTTTATATAAATATAAAATTATCTAAATAGACTGAAGTGTCTCAAATACTACTAAAACCAAATAATAGTTTTTAAAATTATGTCAATACAGTGTCCTATTACAACAACAAACATTTTCTTTTTATTTAAGATTATTTATTTTGTTAATACACTGAGTTTTTTTAATTAATTATTATTATTTAAAAGTAATTTAAAATCTAAATAGTTTTGCATAATTTGTTAGTTTGATAAAAGACAGAACACATAATTAACATTTAATGAAGTTAAAAAATATTAAATGAAAATTAATAAAAATTGTATTTTTAGATTATGGTAATTACATCAGTGTCCGTGAAGAGTATGGAGTATGAGGAAGAATACGCCATTGGTAGTAATTTTAGAAATTAATAACGCTATATGTAATGTCCTAGACTCTCAATGATCCATCAAAATATCTTTAATGCAATTCTTATTTTCAATTATTGGTGAATATATTTTTTTTAACGTATCTACTATTGTGTAAAAGAACATTAGAATAAGAATTTAAAAAATGTATATTGTTTTATTCAAGTAAGTAATTAATTGTGTTTTGTGTAGGTATATTTCTAACATTATTATTATTATTGTTAGTTTTATTATGTTAATAATACCCATTCTTTGACATTGTTTTCAACAACAATATGATTTAAAAATAGATAAACATAGAAAATGTATTTATAACTGTAAAGAATTGACTATTAAGTGGAATATAATTATAATTTGTTTTCTTTTGAATATTTAGTTAGGAAAATAAGAAGGTAAATTGCAATGTAATTAATTTAATTTTCATTAAGAAACATAACATACATTAACACCGATTAAAATTTAATTTTAGCTTGATTTATTGCAGTACTCATTTCATTTGGTATTTATGTTAAATAACTTTGAATTCTTGGCTGAAAGAAATTAAAAGTATTTTAGGAATTATTAATTATTTATTAATTATTAAACTATGAGAATTAATTATGATTAATTGATTGATTATATATTTTAATTGATTATTTATAACACAATGACAGCTAAATAACATCTATATTAAATAAATCTACAATTTTAAATCAAAATATGACATTATCTACTAATTAACTGAATATTTAGTTTATAAAACATTTATTGTTATTTAATTGTAGTTTATATTTTCTATTTAATTCAAAATTACTGCTGGAAGCACAAATAATGAAATGGAGTTTTTCTTTTCAGTGTTACATTTATTTGAGAAGCATAACCATTTCAGCAACAATGCAGACAATGTAAAGTAAAAATAAAAAATAAATAATCAAGGTTCATGGTAAAATTGGATTTTCCCAACAAATTTTTATTGATTTCAAGTTTCAGCAGCTTGAATATGTTGGGTTTTGAATTTTTAATATACATGTATATTATTGTATTACATAATGTATATAATTTGGTCTTGGTTAATAATTTTTCCTAAAATACACGCTATATCACGCACATTATTATCACGAAATATAAAACATCAGTAAATATTTCCATGAATGGAATAAAAATGGCGCTGTCCAATAAGAAGTTCAGTTTACGGCCCTATGTGTGTGTATAAATAACGGCTATTCATCTATTATAAATTACAAAAACTGAAAACACATTATTAATTATGAATTTTAGATTCCGATTAGAGCAAAGAAGTTTATGATTTACTAGCTGACCCGTCACGGCTTCACCCGTGATTGGTTGTTTAATTTGCCTTTGGATAATGATATATAGAACTTTTTAATCAAATTCTATCGTTTAATAATATCGGCAAATTAATATAAAAAAAAAAAAAACGGTTAATGAAAACGTATTGAAATGTTTCAAGCGGGATTAATGACAAATATATTTTTACTAAAAATGAATGCAGATACAAAAGAAATGCTGAGTAATTTACGGTTGATAAAAATTTTTATAAAACTTCTGAGTATATGGCGTTTTTTGTTTTATCTCCTGTTGAAATTAAAATCATAAGATGCTTCGGGTCCCCAGTTCGAGAAAATCCCACGTATAATTGTCCATGTGAAAAGCACTGTGTTCGAAGACCTACGCCAACGTACCTGTATGTTTGACCTTGAGCTTTGTTTATCGTGATTGCCAAAGAAACTTTAACAGAGAATTAAAGCCGTTTGAACGGAAACGGCAAGTCCGACGGAATCACGGGAATTCTTGGAATAAATGCAATTTCTCCTTTTGCCGGGCTCGTAAGAATGCCGGCTCCTATAACACTATTCTGCAACGATTTTATTTGTCATCTTGTACCGTTACATAACTTCGGTGGTTGAAGATTACGTAATAATGTAATCGGAGTACCAATTTTTAATTTTAGCTTATGNGTATACATGTTGTTTGGTGTGCGTGCGATAAACTTCTCGGAACAATTCGTACCTACAAGCCGATGTCAAACACGATACAATTTGACGAACAAAAAGGTCAGGTCGCGGGTAGCTGTAAACCCGCGGGCCGCCGTACCGCACAATACGTATATAATATGGGTAGACAATTTTTTAATTTTTCAAGAACTTTATACTTATTTTTTATTGACAAAAGTGGTACTAAAACCTTCAGCAGAGTGTCGGGTACAACGGTAAAAAATTTCAGCCAAATCGGTACGGTGGTTTTCTCGGTTAGCGCGGTCGTAGAAAACCCCTTACAATTTTATATAATAGTATAGATAACGAAGTTATAATAATAACAATATAGTATAGATATGATTATTGGGTATACGTGTTGTCGGTGTAAGTGCGATATACTTCTCGGAACGCCGATATCAAACACGATACAAAAAAAAGGTCAAGTTACAGGTAGCTGTAAACCCGCGACCCGCCGTGCCGCACAATATAGGTACAATTGTTTTTAATTTTTTATGAACTTTTATGAACTTTTTTACTGACAAAAGTGGTACTATAACCTTCAGCAGAGTGTCGGGTTTCAGCCAAAAAAAATTTCAGCCAAATCGGTCCAGTAGTTTTCTCGGTTAGCGCGGTCGAAGAAAAACCCTTACAATTTTATATAATAGTATAGATGATATGTTGTTTATTTTATTTTATTATTATTATTATTTTTTTTTTATCTGTGAACAACTTTTTTACCATCAATTTGCTCTAATTTACAATATCTCGTTTTCTAAAAGGAAATTTGACTGAGGAGGTACTTTAGGAAGGTAATTTTTTGATTTTTCCAGTTCTCAATAAATGGGAAAAACATGGGATAACCGGGAGAACGGGAAAATAGGTACAATATTAAACAAATATTATTAAAGAAAATCTTAAATATTACAGTCTTTCAAAACATGTATAACCAAACTTCACTCAGAATCGCTTTTGGTTAACAATGGTTTGGTTTATCGTTTCTTACAGGTATAAATTACTTAACATTTTGTAACGTGCCATATCGACTTCTAGCAACAATGGCGCACATGGGTTAACCAATACACAATTTGCTATTTTGTAATATGATTACCCAACTTTAGATCTCTGATGGAACTCATTATATACAGTCAATTATCATCTATAACTGTTTTATAAGCCTATGTATAAGTACGAAAAAAAACAAACGGACATACTTTGCACGATGAGAGGGGGGGAAGCACTATTGTAGATGAGAAGTTCAGAAGATAGAGGGGAACTTAATTATATATCTGTTTGGTAAAAAGATTAATCATTGCTAATGAAAACCGAATCGGAGCAAAATTTCTGGTAGGAAAATTGTACATAAAATAAAAAAGTATATAAACATCTATTATTATAATAATATAATTTATAATATATTATAAACGTATCTGTTTCCACTACAAACATACATTATATCAGTTAGAACTTAGATTGGAGGGTCATTAAAATCTTGAACCAACTCATTTTTATCCCTTAGAAAATGATCTAATAGGCATTGCCGATTCAAGAGTTTAACGTTCAAGATTTTGCAGTTTAAGAATTTGCAATTCAAGATTAAGGTGTTGTCATTCAAGATTTTGACGTACGAGTAGAGCTATTGTATCTATAAATTGCGAACACACAAGATACACATAATATTGATTTCTTCTAAAAACTTCATTTTTTTTTACATCAATACTAGATACTTATTAGTTATTAGGCAATACGTCAATACAAAACAAAAATAATAAAATAACTAAAGATAAACTACAATAAAGTTTGTCAATAAGTATATTATTATCACACTTTAAATAGAGATTTTGAAAAAATAGCTTGACATAGTGAAATATAACGAAAAACAAATTCAGTTATAATAGATAATATTTCAGGTAGTATCTAAAACAACTAAAACAACATTAAAAAATGTATTCAAATTTTAAAGCAATTAGCAAAAGTAATTTTTCAGCTGAATTATAACTTTCCAACCATAATAGTTAATGTTTAACATTGTGTAAACTTAAAAAAAAATTGCGATCTCACTAAATATTTTATGCTATATGAATATCGTGTACCTATACATTGTACAGTTGTATACTTAATATCTTTATGATGAGACCCAAATTAAATGTTATCAAATTCATAAAGGAGAATTTGTGTAAATAAAAAGTGAATGATTAAGTAAATAATTTAAATAAAAATACATTGTTAGAGCATTCAAGATAGTTGGAGAGTTTTAAGAAGATTATATTTCCAATGTTGGTACATTATCTCACGAATATTGTGACTTTTATAGCGTAAATATATATCTATATATTTTCAACAGACATACTGTAAAAAAAAAAAAAAAAAAACATTTATCATCATGATAAACAAAAAATGATGAATACAAAAAATAGAGTGTACTTAAAATTATATTTGCTTAAGTTTGTTATATAAACAACCGACAACCACTTTACACGTTTATAATTGTATTTAATTGTGTGAAATCTAATAGTTTTAAATTTTTAGAATATTTAAAAATAATGGCTAAATTTATAATTATAGCGACTGTGATTTTAATTAGTATTTATTTGACGGAACAAGCGTACTTTTTGAGTGAAGAATATATAGCTAAAATTAACGAAGAATCTAAAACTTGGACGGTAAATACTTAATCTTACTCTTACTCTGGTTATTTTTTTTTATTTTATGAAATATGAAACAAAATAAATATATTATACATAATAGTGTTCAGGTCAGCACATTTAGAAGCTCGGAGATAACATTAAATGTATCATTACATTAGAGAACCTTAAGGGAACTAAAAACAAAAATCTCATTTTAAATTAAAATATTTAATACAAATCAGTATGATTATAAAGATGAATTGTAGTTATTTTAATATTTATATGCAACGACGCGACGATGAATAGTTATTGTAATATTGTTTACATTTTGGTTATTTTACATTTTAATAAATTGGGAACGAAATCTGAAATTCTCAACCTTTTTATGTTTAACACTCGGATCAAACATACACCTCATATCTGGTATTAAAATTTATAATGCTTATAAAGGGTTATTCTTCGTAAAGTTAAAATTTTTTTTTAAAAAAAAATCTTTTAAAAATTTAATAAACTAATAAATCTAAAATGTTACATCACCATTATGTTTGGGGGTGAAATGAATATTGATTTTTGGTTTTCAAATGATTAACTATATTATAAGTTTCATACATAGTTTGAATACTAGATTAAATACATTTTGGTGTCAACATTTAAAATCTCCGTCAAACAGTTCACAAAATATTCTACTTTTAAGTTTGGGTAGGGGGAAGTCGTGGAAGTTTTTCAAACTATACTTTGCGAAATAATAAGTGTTCAACGTGTAAAGAATCACTTTATTTATGCATGTATAAATTATTAAATCCATAACATAAATTTGTTTATTTGAGTTTCTTATGTAAAATATTTGTTTGATGATTACATAATTTGTTAAATGTATGGTTTTAAAGTACGTGTAAACTATTTTGTTAATATATCATGATAAAAATAACGTTATAATTTTTATTTCACGGGACATTGACATTTTTTCATGAAATACAATCCAAACGAACTATTTGTGCTCTTTAGGCTCAACAAAATTTTCCACCGGATACGTCAGAAAGAGATATTAAACGACTTTTAGGTTTAGGAGAATCTAAACGGTTAACGGATGCTCTGAAACGCCTAGTTGAGAATAGTGATGCTCCATTGCACAAAGACAATCATTTCTCTTTTATGCCAAAACGGTTTGACGCTAGAAACCGTTGGAAAAAATGTACAACGATTGGTGAAGTCCGCAATATGGGTAACTGCGTTGCTTGTTGGGTAAAAAACGAATGAATCGCTATTGTTTCATAATAATAATAATAATAATAATAATAATAATAATAATTTGTATTAACTTTATAAACGATATAGGCACATAGTACTACAGGAGCGTTCGCAGATCGATTGTGTATAGCGACACGCGGAAAATTCAATCAGCTCTTGTCTGCTGAAAATCTAGCGTTCTGTTGTCCCTATTGCAGCGGAGGATGTCATAGTGAAAATTTTTCGCCATACTTAGCTTGGGTTTATTTCCAGATAAATGGCGTAGTGACAGGAGGAAATTATAATACTTCTGACGTAAACAAAATTAGACTATTAATATATTAGCCACTAAATGTAATACCGTACGATATTGTACATAATACGGTATGTTAAACATTATATACAGGGATGTCAACCTTATCAAATACCACCGTGCATTCGGCATCATAAAGGACCGGGCTCGTGTTCGGAACAACCGCCAATGGATGATCCTCAGTGTACCCAGACATGTTACGGAGACGAATCGATCGACTATAACAACGATCTTCGTAGAGGTCTGGTACACTCGTACTCATTAATACTCATTAATGCGTGTACTGATTTTTTGGGAAAATCGTATACTTACTACAGTATTTTTCTTGTATTTTTAGTTAAAAAAGTCTATACATTAACTAACGCTGTAAGCATGCAGAGAGATATATTCATACACGGACCCATCGAAACAAAATTTTCAGTTTATAGTGATTTTCTGAGTTATAAATCTGGTAAGTGTACTTTATAGGTATACAATGTACACCTATGTGTCATATAAATGTATACATATATACATTTATATGAAAAAATAGTATTTAAATTTATAAATATATTGTATAGTCATCACGTATAAATATTGTGTCAAATTATGGCATTAGGAGTTTATGTTAAGTCTTCAAACACTACATATTTGGGAGGACTTTCTGTCAAAGTAATCGGATGGGGTGAAGATAACGGTGTACCGTATTGGTTAATGGTCAACTCGTGGGGAGTGGAGTTTGGGGATCAAGGATTGTTTAAATTCCTCAGAGGACAAGACCATTGTGGAGCCGAAGAAGGAGCCACAGCAGGCATACCACTATAACAACATAGGAAATAAGGTGTTTTAATTTATTTAACAATAATTGAAAATATTACTTCATCTAAACCTATAAATAGTGTAAATACTAATTATTAAAATGTTTATTTTAGGAATTATTTATAAATTTACTTACTAGGCTTCCTCATAATGTTTTTCTTTAGTTACTACCTGTATAACCTATGCATTATTGTTACGCGCGACACTTGTATTGATTTATTGACCTTATTTCCTTTTTAATACTCACCTACATAAAAGTACTTATATAATAAATAATATGATGATACCTAATAATCGTATTTATATTTTGTCAGAAATAAACTCGTAGGTATATAGAAGCTATTGCGCAATCAGTATAATATCTGTATGCACGTTTGGCTCTGTAACACTGAAGTGGTTTGCAAGCCAATGATTTTCACGAAAAAAAACTTCGTTTAAAATTACTCTTTTTGTTGTCATGAGATATTAATACGCTCATCAAGTTTTTTTTGTCTCTGTCCTTTTCTGTTATAAGTACTACTGTATAGAGTTCTATGGTTTGTCGGTAATTATGCGAAAACGTTATCGTGGGCCTTTTCCTGTCCTATATAGACTTTATAGTACGCCATTGGTTATGGTTGATTCGTCCAGGGTCAAGTATATACGAGTACAAGTATACACGAATCTCAAGTCGTTCACGGTTTGAATATCACGCGGAGCTCTTTCATCGTGACATAAACCATTTTTGGTATTTTATTAGCAACTGAAACGTTCCACTTCAGCATACTTCTATAGGTATACATATATAAATATAGATTAATATACCTACGCGTTTTAATATTATATATTTACTTTCCTGCAGGGGACACTTGTCAGATTCATTACGTCATGCTATGTCTACATAATAACTACGATGGCCAGATTTGAAATCTAAAAATACGGGACAAAAAAATTCTTTATGTAGGAATGGTATTTTTTTCATAATGGATTAGTTTCCCCTGAAGCTGGTTCATTCACATGCATAAAAACAATAAAAGTTTTATCATCACAAAATAGTAAGATAGACACAAACTGATAGAAATTTGTTTACTAATATTACGAAAAACCAATTCAGTATACGTATTCACGAAAAATAAGATAGTTAAATTATAGTTTTTTTGTATTTTAGATTATGATCAAAGCTTGTTGGCACGAAGACTTTGGTTTCACTATAATGTGTGATTTTTTTGTGTTTTTTAACAATTTGTATACCGGTAATTTTGCACCAATCAAAAATCGATAAGAGATATTTTTTGTATACAATTTTATCTAGTTGGTGCATTTGGGACGTCGTTTTTTTGTTTTCTTTGTAGTTTTTTAAAGGGGAAAAACTTCAGATAAATGGGAAATGTATGCTGTAACGGTTTCTGTATTTCCAAATTATTCTGTAGATTTTTGAGTTATTTATAGCCATCTAAAATTTTCAATTTTTTTAATTTTCAATGATTTTCCCTTCATTATCGTCATACTCAAAAATTTCAATATTAAATATATTATTTAAATACCATGGAAATATTATATACGTATTGTAAGTACCTTTTTCTTTGTAAATATGAAAATTTGAAATATTACGAAGGGCCATATTTGAGCAAAATGGTAATATTTTTTCTGGTATTACTCCTCTTCGGCAATTTTTTTAACTTTACATCAGTGCATTGGTCTATAAAAAATTGAAATGATGACACAGTATGGTAAAGTATAACAGCGCTTGCACAAACGTGTATTTACACAAAATGTATAGTTTTTAATAAATATTATATAAATCATTTTCTTCAATAATATTATAAGAAATAGTGCTTAAGAGTATCAAACATATTTTAAATGGTGTGTTTTTTCTGAAGCTTTAACACAAACAATTTTATTTTAATTTCTATCGCACGTGTTTAAAAAAGCCAAATTGTAAAAAAAATGTCACAAAGCCCATTTTTGGTTTTGTTCCTTTATTGTAATTTGTTCACGTAAAATTAATTGCTTTTTCTAATGTGTTGTAGTAATTTTTTTATACAATGGTTTTAAAATCGAATTTGACAAAAATCGTAAATATTAGGGTCTTTCAAATCACGTACCTACCTACAAACGAATTTCGCTGAAAACCGTTTTTAGTTAGAAAAAGTCTATCGTGTTGCTTACAGATATGAATTATATATAGCTTTATATAGCCTACCTTCCTAACTGCCTATCTACAACAGCGACCCATCTTTAAGCAGCATTTGCTCTTTTTTTCTTTTTTAAGTTTTTAGATTGTAAGCGCTCCTTGAAATTCATGTATTTCACCATGACGTGTTATTTTTAAAATGTTAATTTTTTACGTCTGCGAACAAATTTTTCGCCAGAAATCTTAATCCGATTTCCACCGTGGCACGCGTGACAACTTTCCTGAAAGAAAATGTATAACTAGATTCATTAGGAAGGGTTCTTAATAAATTACGAGGAATACCGGGAAAGTTTACGGTGTTCACTGACTATTTTTTCGTGTCGAAATTCAGTTAAAAATAATCTAAAATATACTCATTTGCCGTTTTCGAGTTTTATGTTTTAGTTTTTATTCGGTTTTATGCCGATCGAATCGAGACGAAAATTCTCGAAAACGCAAATTTGGTCATAGAAAAAAAAAAAAAAAAAACGCCCAGTTGTTTTTTTCTTCTAGTTTTCCAAATCAACATTATCTACGAGGCGTGCAAATCTTTGCCCTCGACGGGGTCGGCTTATTAACAATTATTTCTCTTCGGACATGATAATATTTTGCTCTCGTCATGACGGCCACCGTCGTCGGAGCGCACGCACCGCGGATGGGATGAAAATGTCAGCGGGCATCATCGCGATACACTTACCGACCGTACTCACGTGAATATCGGGCGGCGGAGTGTTCGTTGAACTTTGCGCGCGGAATAATAACGAGAGATCGCCGCCGACGTCGGACGGACGGTAGCCGCCGCCGCCATCGCACGTTTACTGAAAAACGAGGCGACCTTGAGAACGACCGTCCGTCGTCGGTGTTCATGACCCCGGCGGCGGCGGCAAGACCGAGACCCGCAGCTGACGCGTATACGATTCGCAGGCCGTTCGGTAAATCCCGGACCGCCGCGCCGTGCATTTTCCGGCCGCGGCGTTTTCCGCTCTTCGCCCGTTTCGCAGCGATTTCCGTCCGTCGCGTTTACCCGACGGAAATATGCAACGCGCGGACAATCCGCTCAACGTTTAAAACTATTTCAGATTTAATCGCCAACGCGCGTTATGCGTATTGATTACGATTTGAGATTGAATTCCCGAACAAACGATAGCTGTACGGGGCACGTTATAAAATCGCGTGTTTCGCGTACGTAATTGTATTGGTATGGGTTTCCCATCATAATGTGATATGATGTCGATGATTTAAACCGATGTGGCGGCTCCGGATAACCTGCAATAACCGTATTATTGTTATTATTATCATCGATCAATTATTGTTCACCGTTCACAGTAATCTTGTTATTTCACTTTTGTTGCGGTACTTTTGAATTGTCTACAACGTGTGAATTGTTATTTCAACCAGAATCTATGGCGAAACGTGTACAATTCGGGCCTTACAGAATGTGCGAATAATACTGTCGTACAATTACATACTAGAACAAGTGCGGCGTTAGCTCATATACCACTAGAATAATTACTACAAAATGGTTATTCGTTTGATGGAAAATTGTCGAAAACAATCCAATTTTATTGGTTTAATTAAATTATTAAAATAACACGGATGATACATCGCGGGTATTCATCAATGGAGACCTTGAGTTTGGAGTACCAATGACAACTTCGGAAAAGACAAAAATTTAAAAAATATATTTAGTAAATGTATCGTTTGTTCAAAAATTAAATTTGATTTTAAGCAATTTGTTTAGTTAGTTGAGAATATTATGAACTCGTTACACAATATTACGGTAAAAATTACGATAACGAGCGGAAATAAAAAAGACGAAGAGCGGAAAACCCACGAACGAATGTGCACGCCTCGAATACCTGCTTTACTGTTCCTGTTTTAATCCGTAACTTTAATGTTCACGCAGTGGCGTCGAATTAGTTTTTGAATGGTCCGGCCAATAATCATAGTAATCCTAACCAACCACCACCTATACTTCTGTACAGGTATAGAGTATAATGCTAGTGCTAATAACTTTGCCAATGTTATTATTATCTTTTTTTTTCATTCAGGTTTTCGGCCAAGGGGACACGAATAACGAACAGAAAAATTAAATTTTTATTTTTATCCCTAAATCCCCGGAGAAAAAAAAATGACCACAATTTTCAAAAATGGCAATTTTTAAAATATATTATTTTAAAAAATGTAATGTATCATACATCCATAACCGATCAATATACCCTTAGTAATAGCCGTTTTAATTTCAACATTCCTTATTTTGTATTACGATTATGATTTGCTATTGCGTAACGTTGTAGTATCGTTTTTCACGCTTTTCTCTTGATATTAAAACGGATATATCTAAGAAACTGTTGAACGGATTTGAATGTATAACATATTGTTATTTCTAGAATTATAAATTTTACAAATTGGCTATTTTTAAAAAGGTAAAAAATAAATATTTTACAAATTTGATTTTCAGTGATTTAGGGATGAAAATAAAAATTTAAGTTCTATCTAAATTTGTGACCCCTGATACAGAACCCGATCGAAAAAAAAAATGAATATTAACAGAGTTATATGCATACGAAAAATACTGTAGGACATCCTGTAAATACCTGTTTAGATATAAGCGGGATATCTGTGGTGTCACTTTGTCTACCGTATAACTGACCGCTACATCGATAATTGTGTACATTTTTAACATATATTAAATAATGTAAACATAATTTTTGTGTGCTTTAAAATCAAATCATATCAATAAAATCAAAGAAAAAAATGATTTTAAAATAATATGTTGTACTGAAAACTCAGATGACTACGATTAATACGAGTATATTAAATAATTGTTTGTTTTAATAGGTTATTAATTTATCATGGAAACAGTGATAACACATTTGTCAAGTTCAAAAACATTATAAAATATTATTATTATTATTGCCTTCTTTAAATAACATGTACTCACGGGAGAAATTCCACCTGTTAACCACTGCCCATTAAGTACCACCACTATTACTACGACACCACATCACCACAAAAATATGATCTTAATAATTAAAACAATGGTACGATATTGTGAAGACCTTTTGCTCCGTCATGTTTATTTGCATACATAAATTGTACGTTTAACGTCTGTATATAGGGTGACGTAATATATATTATAACGGTCGATTAAATTTTAAAGGTAATGTTAAGTAGGTATTTACGGGAATTTAGAGAAATTCACCAAAGAACGTTGGACGATGACTATTAAAACGCTTTCTCATAAAAACCGGCCAATTAAACAAAATCTCAAGCAATTTAAAGATTAGTAAATCGTAAAGATAAAAACCGTGAACATCATTGCCTAACAATTCCGTACATTAACAAGACGTGTGGTTTTACATGTTTTTTTTAAGTAGGTATATATGTATTTTTTTTTAAGTTTTAT